TCCTAATTTAATATTAAAATGAGATCACTTTTCTCTCGTCCTGTAGGAAATTGTAATGTTTAGTTGGAATTACCAGCAATTGATTGTCTCTAAACCCCACTCTCTACCACACTCATCAAAATAACCGCAGGAAGAATGGGAAAGGGAAGGCTTGCAAGGGTCCTCAAACCTTTTAAAGTGGGGGCCAGATCACGGTCCCTCAGAGAGCTGGAGGGCCGGACTATATGAACTACTAATTCCTACTGTAACACCTCGGCTGCGCTCACTGCCCAAAAAACCTGGCGGGCCGGATCAGACTCCTCTGTGGGCCGCATGTGGCCCGCGGGCCGTAGTTTGAAGACGCCTGCTTTAAGGGATGCAAACCTTTAAAAAGATAGGCAAACCACTGGTCTGAGACTCTAGACAAGGAGGAAGTAGAAAAGCAAGCTATAGGCATACCTTGGAGTTATTTTGGAGTCAGTTCCAGACCATTGTAATAAAGTGAGTCCTAATCTTTTTGCTGGTAGAGGGTCTTGCCTTCAATTTGTAAATCAAGATGCAATAAAATGGGGTGTGCCTGTATTTAGCCTATTGGTTAGTATTATCCAGCTAGTTAGTTTTTATCTGCAAATTGATGTGCACTTTTACTCATCAAGCCAAACATTGAGCTTGGGGAAAAAAATCCTAGACCGTGATTCTCATGCTTACCTGCACATTATAGTCATCTGGGGAATTTCTAAAACAGTAATGTTAGGACCACACCCAAAATTAATTAAATCAGAATATCGGAAGGGATGAAGCCCAGAGGACTCATTTAAATGGTCCCCCCCCACCCAAAAAAAGGAATAGTCCCCCAGGTGAATCTAATGTGCAAGGCTGAGACCAGCGCTCTAAATCAGTGGTTTTCAAACTTGAGTGTGCATCAGAATCACCAGAAGGGCATGTTACCACAGTTTTCTGGGCCCCACCCAGAGTTTCTGATACAGTTGGGGTGGAGCCTGAAATTGCATTTCTAACAAGCCAATGCTGCTCGTGGAAGGGGCCCCGCACTCTGAAAAGTAAAGACCATCTAAGCCACAGGTTCTCAACTTTGACTGTACTTGAGAATCACTGGGGGCATTTTTAAATGACTCATGCCTGAGCTCCTCCCTAAACCAATTATACTGGAATGGCCAGGGCCCAGAGATCAACATTTTAAAATTTCTCTCTAGGTGATACTAATGTTTAATGAAGTTTGTGATCCCCCTACCCTAGACCTAGAGATTGTACAGATGGAAAAGATCATTTAGTGCAAACCCTTCAATCCTCTGGGAATTTACAGCTACTTCAACTACTACTGATTCACATGTCCCAACTCCAATTTCCACTATTCTTCCTTAACCATTACTATGCATCAGCAATGTTATCAGCGTAGGTGATCAACTTTTTTCCAGGCTTGCCTGAGATACTCCTAGTTTTAGCTCCAAAAGTCCCAGCTTCAGAGTAAATTGGGACAGTTGGTCCCTGTATTGTTTTACAGCTCACAGACTAGATTATGGTACTACTAGATGGCTGGTGCATGAAATTCATGCACAGGGCAGAGGGGGTGTCCCTTAGCCCAGCCTGCACCCATGTCCACTGCCCGTTTCAGCCTGATCTTACCAGTACTGCTGGCTCCTTGCCTGCCTGCCTTCCTCATTGCCCCTAACTGCTTCTGCCTGCCAGCCTGATCACCTCCTAATGACTCCCATGCCAGCCTGGTTGATGTGTAACTGCTCCCCAGCCAGCCTGTTTGCCCTCAACTTCCCTCCTCTGCTGGCCTGGTCCCCTCTAACTGCCCTCCCCTGCAGGGTTGATCACCTTCAACTGTCCTCCTTTGCAGGCCTGGTCCCTCTCAACTGCCCTCCCTTACAGGCCTGTTGCCTCCCAACTGCCCTCTCCTGCTGGCCATCTTGTGGTGGCCATCTTGTGTCCACATAAGGGCAGGATCTTTGACCACATGGGGGCAGCTATTGTGTTGGAGTGATGGTCAATCTGCATATTACTCTTTTATTAGATAGGATAGAGGCCTGGTGCATGGGTGGGGGCCAGCTGGTTTGCCCTGAAAGGTGTCCCGGATTAAGTTGGGGGTTCCCTTTGGATATGTGGTGGCCTGGACGAGGGGCCTGTGGTGGTTTGCAGGCCAGCCACACCCCCTGGCGACCCAGAGGCCCTGGTATCTGGAATTTATTTACATTCAACAATTGAAACTTTGTAGCCTGGAGCGGAGCCAAGCCTCCTGCTAGCTCCATGGCCGGCAGCCATTTCTGTTGGAATTTATGAATCTTCTATAACTGAAACTTTGTAGTCTGGAGTGGAGGCCTGGGCTGGCCAGGGTGTGCGGAAAGCTTTGTTTCCTCCATTGCCGGGGCAACCCTAGCCTTCTGCTCTTTCCAGCTCCGTGGCTGCCGCCATTTCTATTTGGATTTTCTTACCTTCTATAATTGAAACTTTGTAGCCTTGAGTGGAGGCTTAGGGCAGCAAGGGCAGGTGGAAAGCTTGGCTTCCTCCATTGCCTCGGAAACCCAAGCCTCCCTCCTGCTCTCTGTGGCTGTAACCATCTTGGTTGGGTTTATCTGCATACTCGCTCTGATTGGCTGGTGGGCATGGCTGGTGGGTGTAGTGGAGTAATGATTAATTTGCATATTATTCTTTTATTAGGTAGGATATTTTTTATTTCAGAGAAGGAAGGAGAGAGAGACAGAAACATCAATGATGAGAGAGAATCATTGATCAGCTGCCTCCTGCACACTGTACATGGGGGATTGAACTCGCAACCTGGGCATATGCCCTGACAGAGAATCAAACTGTGACCTCCTGGTTCATAAGTTGATGATCAACCACTGAGCCATGCCAGCTGGGCATTTGCTATGTTTTTAACTGATATAACATTGGTTTATACCATTATAAGTTTTAGGTGTGAAACATTATAATTCAACATGAACTTTTTTGAAGCTTAAATGAGTAGTTTAATACTATTTGGATTTTATATTGATGTGTAAATGAGTTGTTTTATTTTTAAAAATAGAGAAAAACAAGGAATATTTAGAACACTTGCCTGTATCAACTAGCTAAGAGTTTAATAATTCATATAGAAATACCCACATAAAAATGACACTGTTACCCTGGCTGGTTTGGCTCAGTGGATGGAGTGTTGGCCTGCGGACTAAAGGGTCCTAGGTTCAATTCCGGTCAGGGGCACATGCCCCAATTGGGGGCTCCATCCCCAGTAGGGGCCATGTAAAAGACAGCCGATCAATGATTCTCTCTCATCATTAATGCCTCTATCTCTCTTTTCCTCTCCCTTCCTGTCTTGAATCAATAAAAAAATGACACTGTTGACAGCCACAAAAAATGACAGGAGCATGATTCTAAAACCATCTGATGTACAAAGTATAATTAACAGAATTATCAGGAAGCTGATTAAATACAGTCAATCCTACATTTATTCAGTTGATATCCCTTGGTGAATATCTAAATTAAAAACAGAAAGATGACTAGAATTAGCCAGAAGATGTAAGAAAAAGCATATTCCAAGTTGAGGAAATAGAATGTGAAAAGGACCAGAATGTGAAAGTTGTCCTTTTCAGGGAAAGAAATTCAATGTGTATAGAAATGAGGCTACCCAAATTATAAAGAGGATTTGAGGCTGCATCAAAAATATTTTTCCGCTGAAACCGGTTTGACTCAGTGGATAGAGAGTCAGCCTACTGACTGAAAGGTCCCAGGTTCGATTCCAGTCAAGGGCATCTACCTTCGTTGCGGGCACATCCCCAGTAGGGGGTGTGCAAGAGGCAGCTGATCGATGATTCTCTCATCGATGTTTCTAACTCTCTATCCCTCTCTCTTCCTCTCTGTAAAAAATCAATAGAAATATATTTTTTTTAAAAAATTTCCTATTGGTTATTAGAGAGAGTGGAAGTGATGGGGGGAGGATGGGAGAAAGGAAAGTAGGTAGAGATAGAGACAGAGATAGAGAGACATCAATATGAGAGAGACACATCAATTAGTTGCTTCCTGCATGCATCCCAACCGGGGCCAGGGATCAAACCTGCAACCAAGGCACATGACTTTTACTGGGAATGGAACCCGCAACCCTTCATTCTGCAGACTGACACTCTAACAATTGAGAAAATCTGGCTAGGGCTCAGATTTATTTAAAAAGCAACAAAATGCCAATGACAGACAGATTTTAAGCATTGGAGAAACACAATGAGATGGGCATTTTAGAAAACTCACTCTGGTCATAGAGGATGAAATGGATGGGAGCAAGAGTGGAGAAAGCAGCAGCGGTTGGGAAGATGGCACTGTCAGTAACAATCTGGTGAGAGATGATGGTAACCTGGTGGATGGAGACTCGGTGATTCACTGGATGTTGGGCAGGAGGTAGAGAAAAAAGGACTCGGAATTCCAAGACTTCGGACTTGAGTGACTGAGTAGATTGGTATATTCTTCCAGGTTGGGAAAGATGTGAAACATTCAACATGAGATATGTTGAGTTTGGAGGACCTAAAATATAGCCAGGTGGAATCTACCTTATAGGCATTTGGATACAGAAATCAGAAAGATGGGATTGCCATTTAGAGATATGGAGAAGAAAGGATGCAAAAATAAGTCGCTTTACATTTAAATATTTTTCAGTTATAAAATAATATAACCCAATTATCAATACATAAAACAAAATATAGAGAAATGGAAATAAAACATATAGCTATCATATATCAACATTCCTTATCATTTTAATTATTTTTCTTGTATATATAAATGGATATTTATATATTAGCTTTAATAGCCTTCTTTTTTTTTTTTTCTGAGAAGGAGGCTTTTCCAGAAGTATTTAGGATTGATAAAAATTAAAAACAGTGATTGGCCTTATATCATTTTGTAAATCAAACAATGTTTAATAACTTACACATCCTAGGGCTGCAAAAAAATCTAAATTGTTGGGCAAGTGTCCAAGAACAACTCCAGAGTTTAATAAAGAAATCAGGCACCAGAGAATGTCATTTTAAATATCCAGTTTATTATAGTATATACTAGATCATTAAAGGGGTTCTGGAACTTTCTGTCTCTATACTACGCAGCACAATTGTAGGTAGTCAATCTCTTCTCTGAAGATCTCCTTTCCCTTGGGATCTCTATTACACCAGTTCTCCCTCCACAGGTGAGAACTAATTGGTGCTATTGCTCCTAAGATTAACCACATTTTAAAAAGGGTATTCTAGAAGCCTCAAAGCATAGAAAACCCAAAGGACTGAAGTTCATGCAGTCACTCTGCAATCACTTTATAACTTACTCTGCTTTTTGAAAAATGTTAGACTTGATTCTAGTCATAATCCTTGGTAACTCAAGAACACAGAACATATCTAATAAAATCTCTGGGCAAATACAGAGACCTGAGACAATGTGACATTATTATGAGATGCTGAGAAAAACTCAGTTGTTGCCACACCACAGAAAGTTTCAGGCCAACGGAGCCAGGACAGGCTGACAACAGCAGGAACAGTCCAGATCCAGGGCCAAGGAGTGGTCACAGCAAACAAACACACGTGGAAACAAGGGAAGCTGAAAACGAAGGTAATAAATCGGGCTCATGTATATTCTTCCTACTCATGATCCAAAGATTGTTTTCCCCAGGAACCCTCTCAGGGTCTGCAATGTAACAATATGCCAAACCTGGAAGTTAATGAAATTTCAGCCTTAATGAAGAGCCCATCTTGTAGGAGGCTGCTTATCGAGTAAAGAGGAACACCAGCTCACAGTGTAGGGTGTGGGGGAACAGATCCACAGGCACAGCTTGTCTCAGGACAAAAGGCTTGCCAAGAAGCTTCTTATCAGAGTTTGGGGGACAACACAGCCTGTAGAACAAGATGGAAATAAGATCAGTTCCTAGAAACCAAGGAGAACTTCCAGTAACACAATTTCTTACATTTTAAGCTCTGCCTCTGTGTTCCCACAGTTCTTTGTGCTTTTTTCTATAATAGTATCTATCATATTTAATGTAACTACCTGTTTTTTTAAGCCATCTTCCTCACTGGAGTCTAATCTTTTTGAAATGAGGCAAAAACTGCTTATTATTCATCTCTATGTTCCCAGTATGTGACACAGACTCGGGGTTAAATGGTGAATGGAGCAAGGGACCTAGGTCATATACTTTTCTGTATTATTTGCACAAATAGGTAATTAATAAATATGACTGAGTTAAATTATTCTATTGAAATGTTTCACCTTACTTCAAAGGAAGTCAAGCAAAAACTGAAAACAGCAAGTCACCTATAAATTCACCAGAGAGGATAAACACTGTTAACTTTGCAAAATATACCTTTCCAACAATGGATACTTAACCTGGTTTCTTAAAATGGAGTCACACTGTATAATACTGTACATATTCCTTTACAACCAGTTTCTTCAGATAATAATACATCATGATCATCTTTAAAAAAGTCCTCACCTGAGGATATGTTTTTATTGTTTAGAGAGAGAGGAAGAGAGAGAGAAGCATCAATGTGTGAGAGAAACATCAATTACTTGCCTCTCATATGCGCCCCAACCAGGATCGAACCCCAACCCAGGTATGTGCCCTGACTGGAAATTGAACCAGCAATCTTTTAGTGTATGGGACGATGCTCCAACCAAGTGAGTTACCGGGCCAGGGCCATCATGAGCATTTTTTCACTATATTATTACGTGTAAAGCTACCTCACTTTTTTGGCTACCCACTGTAATTTCCTTAAGTAAACTGAACACAGTCTAGTTATCTAGTTCCTTGTTATTGGAAATTTAAGCTGTTTCTAACTTTTGGCTATTTCAAAAAGTCACTTCATAAATACTCTAGTTATATCTTCGCATACATTTTTAGTTATTTAATGGAACTGCTAGGTTGAGGGGCTATATGTTTTTAAGGCCCTACAACATATCCCATTAAGTTGTTCCAAAAAAGGTTGTACCAATTTACACTCAAACCAACAAAACAGAAGAGTTATTAACACTCAATAGCTTAATCAGTGGTTTTCAATCTTTCTAATGCTGTGATCCTTTAATACAGTTCCTCATGTTGTGGTGACCCCCAACCATAAAATTACTTTTGTTGCTACTTCATGACTGTAATTTTGCTACTGTTAATGAATCGTAATGCAAATATCTGTGTTTTCCGATGGTCTTAAGCTCTATAGCAGCGGTTAGACTTGATTCTAGTCATAATGATGATCTAACCACTAGCAGGGTCACCCAAGACCATCAGAAAACACAGATATTTAGATTACAATTCATTAACCATAAAGGTCCCATCCATAATAGCAATAAAAACTTTACATTATCTTCTCTTAACCTTAAGAAAAAGGATCTATGTTGGAAAAAATGTGTGTGTGTCTGTGTGTGTGTGTGGGTGTGTGTGTATCTTTGAAATTACATAAGACTTGAGTAACTGAAGAAACATACCACATACCTAGACAAAAAAAAATACTGTAAAGATTGTAATTCTCCCTAAATTAATTAATTCAATATTCTTCTAATCACAATCCCAAAAAGTTATTTTTGATAAGTTGATTCTACTACAGCTCTGTTAGAAAACATACAGAAGAGGAATAGTGACATGAAAGATCCTCTTGGCCTCTCCCCTTGAAATTTCAACTAGTTATCCAACTATAATTCAACAAAGAAATCCCTGCTCAATACAGACACCTGGGAGACCTGTGCATTGAAACATTTAAAGGTAGGAAACGGAATAAGTGGGAAGAGGACAAGGGAGGAAAGCGCAAATGGCCTATAGATGAAGCCCTGGAGAGGAGAGAAAACTGGTAGTAGCAGGTGCTTCCTTTGGCTAGGAGGAACAGAGAGATGGGGTGGGGGTACCTGGGGGGTACCCAGCAGGACAAGCTGAGCTAAGTGTCTGAGCCAGAAAATGCCTGACAAAGCACAAGGTTCTGCTGTGCAACTCTCCACTGTGAACCAGGAGGTGGTTTCAGACCATGAAATGGAACCGCAGAGCCCTGCCACCGCTTGCACTCCCAAAACACCTTCCATTGCCCTTGGAGTTGGGTTGAGGAGCATATTATCTGTAAATCAAGAGTTATTGCAGTAGATCCACTGTTTCCCTCTATGTCTGATCCCCAGTGCTTGGGGTAGGACCTTACAGAAGTCAAGGGTCACCATTATGGTGAAGGCAAAACAAACCCCACCTCCAAACGATGCAGATGTACTGTCTTTTTTAAAAATATATATATTTCATTGATTTTTTTACAGAGAGGATGGGAGGATAGAGAGTTAGGAACATCGATGAGAGAAAACATCAATCAGCTGCCTCTTGCACACCTCCTACTGGGGATGTGTCCCCAACCAAGGTTCATGCCCTTGACCAGAATCAAACTTGGGACCTTTCAGTGCAAAGGCCAATGCTTTATCCACTGAGCCTAACCGGTTAGGGCACAGCTGTACTGTCTTACAGAATCCTAGGAGGTCAAGTTTGAAACAGAGTACAGAGGTAAAATAAATAAATAAATAAATAAATAAATAAATAAATAAATAAATCTTATGATTCAGCGCCATCTACTGGGAAACAGTAAAAAAACCTCTTCAGAGAAAGCTGCTATATATAAGACCATTGATATAGACAGATAGATATACACAGAGTGCCCAGATTATTTATTATGATCTCTGAATGCATAATAATCTGGCCACTCAGTGTGTGTGTGTGTGTGTGTGTGTGTGTGTGTGTGTATGTATACATATTAGAGACCCAGTGCATGAATTTGTGCATGGGTGGGGTCAGACCAACCTGGCCAGTGAGAGGGGACATGGGCAGTTGGCTGGCCTGCCTGCTGGTTGAACTCCTGGTAGAGGGGACAATTTGCATGTTAGCCTTTTATTATATAGGATATACACTGAGTGGCCAGATTATTATGCGTTCAGAGATCATAATAATCTGGCCACTCAGTGTTCATGCCTAGGCAAAGGAGAACAGCAGATACCATAAATAATCATAGTAATGAGGATGATCACAAATAAAATAAAAATCACCAGAAAGCAAGCTTGAACACATAGAAATATGTGATATAAATGACAGATTTCAAGTTTGCAGTTCTAAAAATATGCAAGGAAATACAGACAGGCAATTCAATGCATTCAGAAAACAAATCAGCCTGGCAGGCGTGAGTGTGTACACAATTTGATTCCTAGTCAGGTGAAATGCCTGGGTTGCAGGCTTGATCCCCAGTATAAGGCATGCAGGAGACAGCCAATAAATGATTATCTCTCATCATTGATGTTATCTCTCATTCCCTCTCCCTCCCTCTCAGAAATTGATAAAAATATAATTTTTAAAAAAGAAGGCCAATCAATAAACAAAACAAGTACTTTACCATAAAGATTTAAAAAAATACCAATCAGAAATCATATACTAAATGAAGCATGCAATTAAGGTGATTAAGAGTTAACTACTGAGGCCTGGCTGGTATGGCTCAGTGCACTGAGCACTGTCCCATGGACTAAGAGGTCCTGGGTTCAATTCCTAGTCAGGGCCCATACGTGGGTTGTGGGCTCGATCCCCAGTAGGAGGCATGCAGGAGGCAGCCAATAATTGATTCTCTCTCATCATTCATGTTTCTAGCTCCCTCTCCCTTTCTCTTTATCTAAAAATCAATAAAAACATATTTTTAAAATATTTTTTAATTTTTAAAAGAGTGGAACTACTGAGTACAGAAAAGAGAGCCAACCTGATGGAGGAAAGAATTAGTGATAACAAAGATAGAAATCTAGAAATGATGCAGAAAGAAGAGAGAGACCTGGGCATAAAGAAACATGAAAGAGCTCAAGAGAACCATCTGACTCCATCAGAAAAAGGAACATTAGAATAATAGGCATTCCAGAAGAGGAAGAGACAGAGAAGGGGACTGAAAGTTTATTCAAACAAATAGTGGATGAGAGCTTCTCAAACTATGGAAAGAACTAGATCCTTGAATTCAAGAAGCAAACAGAACACCTAGTTACCTTAATCCAAAGAGGCCATATGTAAGGCACTTTGTATTAAAACTATCAAAAATTAATGACAAAGAAAAAAGCAGCCAAGAAAAAAAAAAGGAAGTAACCTACAAAGAAAAACCCACCCAACTTCTTAGCAGAAACTCTATAAGCCAGAAAAGAGTGGAACCAAATATTCAAATATCTGAAACAGAGAAATTATCAGCCACAAATATATCCAGCAAAATTATCCTTGAAATATGAAGAAGAAATAAAGACATCCCCAGATATACAGACGTTGAAGGATTTTATCACCAAAAAACCTCCATTGCAGGAAATACTCAAGGGAGTTATTCTACCTGAAACAAACAACATAAGGTTACAACACTAAGAGTAATATCACCAAAAAACATATAGCACAAACAGGAATATTTTGTGACAACAAAAGCAAAGAAGGGGAGGGGTAATGCTCTGAACTGGCAAAGGAGGATGAAAATCACATGCATTCAAATGGAAAAAAAAAAAACACCTGTATATATGCAAGTTTATTTTTAAAAAGCTAATGGTAACCATACACAAAAATTCCCCAAACCAGGACACGTAGCTTATAAAAGTAAGAAACAGAAGAAAGAAATATGGAATACCACCAAACAAAAGCAATAGAAACATAAAGGAAAAGAACCAATGGAGGCACAGAGCTAGCAGGAAACAAAAGATAAAATGGCTATAGGAAATCCTCATACATCAATAATTAACCTAAATGTAAATGGTCTGAAATCACCAATAAAGAGGCACAGAGTAGCAGATTGGATTGAAAAACAACAACAACAACAACTTATGCTGACTACAAGAGATACAACTAAGGTGCAAAGACATAGGTAGATTCAAAGTAAAAGGGAGGAAAATGATTCTCCAAGCAAATAACATCCACAGAAAAGCAGGTGTAGCCATGCTTACATCTGACAAAATAGATTTCAAGAAAATGAAGATAACAAGAGACAAAGATGGATACTTTATAATGTTGCCGTCTGCCAGGAAGAGAAGGTTGGAAATTCAGGCACTCCCTTAAAGGGCCAATGTAAAAATTCCATGTGGAGCCACCCACCTTGTGCTATGGCAGAGGGAGGGCAGAGCGGACTGAAGCTGTGGGTGCAAAAACCAGGAATGGGGGCACAGCAGTTACAGCTCAGAAGATAATACCCCCAGTTTCCTGTTCTGAGACATTTCCTCATTCTTCAGAGGTCATCTTTCTCATGTTGACACTGGCTATACAGGCGACCTTGCCAGGGGGTAAGACAGTTGATCCACTCTATAGGAAAAAACCGGCCCCACTCTCAGGTCCATTAAGAGACTGAGAATAACAATTAACCTCTGGGCAAAAGGAACTGACCCACCCCATTGAAAAACAAAAACAAAAAAATCTTGCCACACCTGTGAACCATTATCTGAGGGAAATCCCATCAGTCTGTAGATGGAGGCAGTCTCTGGAGCCTTTGAATCTTTGCCTGATTAGTCAGAAACAGATTTGACATGAGACTGAAAGGCATAGCAGATCTACCTAATACATAGTCACAAACCCAAAAAGGCAGCCAAAATGAGGAGACAAAGAAACAACCTACAAATGAAAGAACAAAAGAATTCTCCAGAAGAGATAAATGAAATGGAGATTAGAATTTTTTCTGATAGAGTTCAGAATAATGATAGTAAAGATGCTCAACTGCATGATAAAAGATATAATAACTATGAAAACAGAAATAAAGAATGACATAGCACTAATAAAGAACATATTGGAAGGAATACACAGCAGATTAGGGGACAATGAGGATCGAATAGGTGAATTAGAAGACAGGGCTGGACTCAGAGAACCAAAAAGAAAAAAAAAAACAATTAAAAAACAGAACAGCTTAAAAGAACTATGGAACAATGTGAAACATAACAATATTAGAGTAGCAGGTGAGCCAGAAGCAGCAGAAAGGGACAAACGGATAGAGAACGTGTTTTAAGAAATAATGGCAGGAAAGTTCCCTAACCTGGTGAAAGAAAAAGTCACACAAGTCCATGAGGAAAAGAGAATCCCAAGCAAGAAGAACTCAAACAGGCCCACACCCAGGCACATCATAATTAAAATGCCAAAAATTAAAGACAAAGAGAATCTTAAAGACAGCAAGAAAAAAGCAAAGTGTTACCTACAAAGGAGCTCCAATAAGGCTGACACCTGATTTCTCATCAGAAACTCTATAGGCTAGAAGGGAATGGCATGAAGTACTCAAAGTAATGGAAAGCAAGGATCTGAAACCAAGATTACTATATCCAGCAAGACTTAAATGCTCTAATAAAAAGGTATAGGATAGCTGAATGGATACAAAAACATGACCCAACTATATGCTATCTACAGGAGACCCACCTCAGAACAACAGACACACCCAGGATAAGAATGAAGGAATGGGGGTAAAAATTCCCTTTAAATGGAAAAATAAAAGCTGGAGTAACAACACTCCTATCCAACAAAATACACTTCAAAATGAAGGACATCAAAAGAGACAACAAAGGTCGCTACATAATATAATACTAACGGGCTCGATTCAACAAGGGGATATGACCCTGGTAAACATATATGCACCCAATATAGGAAAACCAAAATATATGTTTTTTAAAAACTTCTAGAGTACTTTAAGGGAGAGATCAACAACAACAACAGTCATAATCAGGGACTTTAACACCCCAATTACTTCACTAGATAGATCTTTCAGACAAAAACTTAACAAGAAAACAGTAACTCCAAAGGACACACTGGATCTGATGGATTTAATTGACATTTATAGAACATTTCACCCCAACACTGAAGAATATTCATTCTTCTCAAGTGTACATGGATCATTCACAAAGATAGATCACATGTCAGGACACAAGTCTCTACAAATTCAAGAAGACTGAAATAATATCAAGCATCTTCTCAGATCACAGTAGAATGAAATTGGAATCAACTACAGCCGAAACTGGTTTGGCTCAGTAGATAGAGCGTCAGCCTGCGGACTGAAAGGTCCCGGGTTCTATTCCGGTTAAGGGCATGTATCTTGGTTGCGGGCACATTCCCAGTCGGGGGTGTGCAAGAGGCAGCTGATCAGTGATTCTCTCTCATCAATGTTTTTAACTTTCTACCCCTCTTTCTTCCTCTCTGTAAAAAATCAATAAATATATTTAAAAAAAAGAATCAACTACAGTAAAAACACCCCAAAATATTCAAACACATGGAGGCATGTGATTAAACAATGAATGGGTTACCAACCAGATCAAGAAATTAAAAATACTTCCTGGAAACAAATGAAAATGAACACACAACAACACAAAATCTCTGGAACACAGCAAAAGCAGTCCTGAGAGGGAAGTTCATACCACTGCAAGCCTACCTCAAAAAACAAGAAAAATCAATAATAAACTAACCATACAACTTAAATAACTAAAAAGAGAACAACAAGAAAGGCCCAGAATAAGTGGAAGGAAGGAAATAATAAAGATTAGAGCAGAAATAAATGACATTGAGATTTAAAAAATACCAAAAAAACACATCAATGAAACCAAGAGCTGGTTCTTTGAAAGGATAAACAAAATTGATAAACCCTTAGCCAGACTCAACAATAAACAAAAGAGAGAGGACCCAAAGAAATAAAATCAGAAAAGAAAGTGGAGAAGTAACTACTAATACCACAGAAATACAAAGGATTGTAAGGAAGAAAGAAAACACACACACACACACACACACGAAAAACACCAACACAAAGGTTTGTAAGGAAATACTATGAACAACTGTATGCCAACAAACTGTAAAATGTGGGGGAAATTGACAAATTCCTAGAAAAATACAATCTCCCAAAATTCAATCTGGTAAAATCAGAAAATCTGAATAGGCCAATAAGAACTGATGAAATAGAAGCAGTAATAAAAAAAATTTTAAAAAAAACTCCCAGCAAACAACAGCCTAGTCTGGATGACTTCACAGGGGAGTTTTACCAATCACACAAAGAAGAACACACACCTGTACTCCTCAAACTATTCCAAAAATTCCAAGAGGAAGGAACACTTCCAAGCTCTTCTTATGAGGCCATCATTACCCTAATCCCAAAACCAGAGAATGACACTACAAAGAAAAAGAATTATAGGCCAATATCCCAGATGAACATAGATGCTAAAATCTTCAACAAAATATTAGCAAGTAGGATCCAGCAATATATTAAAAAGATCTTACACCATGATCAAGAGGGATTTATTCCAGAGATGCAAGGCTGGTAAAATTTTCACAAATAAATAAATGTGATATATCACATAAACAAATTGAAAGACAAAAGTCACATGATCATATCAATAATGCAGAAAACAAATTTGACAAAATCCAACATCCATTTTTGATAAAATTAAATAAAAACTCTCAGCAAAGTGGGAATAAAAGGAGCATGCCTCAACATAATAAAGGCCATATATGACAAACCTACAGGGAACATCATATTCAATGGACAAAAACTAAAACCATTTTCCCTGAGAAAAGGAACAAGTCAGGGATGTCCGCTTTCACCACTCTTATCCAAAATAGTACTGGAAGTCCTAGTCACAGCGATTACACAAGAAAACAAAATAAAAGGCATCCAAATTGGAAAGGAGGAAGTAAAAATCCATTCACAGATGACATGATTGTAATATCTAATAAAAGAGTAATATGCAAATTGAACGTACATCTGCTATACCCATAAACCATGCCCACAAGGTAATCAGGATCAAATATACAAATAAACCCAACCAAGATGGTTGTGGCCACAGAGAGCAGGAGGGAGGCTTGGGTTTCCCAGGCAATAGAGGAAGCCAAGCTTTCAGCCTGCCCTTGCCGGCCTAAGCCTCCACTCAGGGCTACAAGTTTCAATGATAGATAAATAAATCTAAACAGAAATGGCAGCAGCCACAGAGCTGGAAAGAGCAGGAGGCTAGGGTTGCCCCAGTGATGGAGGAAGCCAAGCTTCTGAAGCCTGGCCTACCTTGGCCTCCACTCCAGGCTACAAAGTTTCAATTATAGAAGATACATAAATCCCAATAGAAATGGCTGTTGCCACAGAGCAAGCAGAAGGCTTGGCTCCACTCCAGGCTACAAAGTTTCAATTGTAGAATGTAAATAAATTCCAGATACCAGTTGCTGGGGGGGGGGGGGGGGCATGGCTGCCCTGCAAACCACCACAGGCCCTTGCCCAGGCCACCCCATTTCCCAAGGGAACTCCCACCCTGATCCAGGACACCATTCAGGGCAAACCAGCTGGCCCCCACCCATGCACCAGGCCTCTATCCTATCTAATAAAAGAGTAACATGCAGATTGTCCATGACTCCAACACACAAGATGGCTGCCTTCATATGGTCAAAGATCCTGCCTCCATGTGGACCCAAGATGGCCACCACAAGATGGCCAGCAGGGGAGGGCAGTTGGGAGGGACCAGGACTGCAAGAGAGGGCAGTTGGGGTGATCAAGCCTGCAGGGGAGGGCAGTTAGGGGTGACCAGCCCAGCAGAGGAGGGAAGTTGGTGGTGACCAGGCCTGCAGGGAAGGGCAGTTGGGGGGACCCAGGCCTGAAGTGGAAAGCAGTTGGAGGGGACCAGGCCTGCAGGGGAGGGCAGTTAGGGACAAACAAGCTGGCATAGGAGCAGTTAGGCATCAATCAGGCTGGCAGGAGAGTGGTTAAGGGGTGATCAGTCTGGCAGGTCGAAGCAGTTAGGGGCAATCAGGAAGGCAGGCAGGTGAGCCATTGGGAGCCTGCAGTCCTAGATTGTGAGAGAGATGTCTGACTGCCATCTCAGTGGGATTGGACTTAAACAGGCAGTTAGACATCCCTCAAGGGGTCCCAGATTGGAGAGGGTGCAGGCTGGGCTGAGGGACAACCCCCTCCGTGCACAAATTTTGTGCACTGGTCCTCTAGTGTATATATAAAATCCTAGAGACTCCACCAAAAAACTACTAGATTTAATAAATGAATTTGGAAATGTAGCAGAATAGAAAATCAGCAGGCAAAAAATCAATGGATGTTTTTATACAGCAATAATGAATTCTCAGAAAGAGAAAATAAACAAGCAATCCCATTTACAAGAAAAAGGTTAAAATACTTAGAAATACACTTAACCAAGGAGGCAAAAGATCTGTACTCATAAATCTATAGGACATTGAAAAAAGATATAAAAGAAGATATGAACAAGTGGAATAATATACCATATTCATGTATTGGTAGAATCAACATCATTAAAATGTCCATACTACCCAAGGCAATATATAAATTCAATACAACCCCTATTAAAATACCAACAGGATATTTCACAGATCTAGAACAAATACTCCAACAGTTTATACAGAACTAAAAAAAGACCCCAAATAGCCACAGCAATCTTGGGAAAGAAGAACAAAGTTGGAGTAATCACAATACCAGATTTCAAGTTACATTACAAAGCCATGGCAATCAAAACAGCCTGGTACTGGCACAAGAATAAGCATATAGATCAATGGAACAGAAAAGACTCCAGAAATTGATCTAAGCCATTTTGTACAATTAATATTTGACAAAGGAGGCAAGAACATACAATGGAATCAAGACAGTTTCTTCAATAAATAGTGTTGGTAAAATTGGACAGTTATATGCAAAAAAATGAAACTAGACCATGAAGTTACATCAGGCACAAGAATACAATCAAAATGGACAAAGGACTTAAATATAAGTCGTGAAACCATAAAAATCCTAGAAGGAATCAGAGGCAGCAAAATCTCGAACATTTCTCATAGCAATATGTTTACAGATACATCTCCTAGGGCCATGGTCGGCAAACTGCGGCTCGTGAGCCACATGTGGCTCTTTGGCCCCTTGAGTGTGACTCTTCACAAAATACCACAGCCTGAGTGAGTCTATTTTGAAGAAGTTTAAGTTTAAAAAATTTGGCTCTTACAATCTACAATAGCTAGAATTTGGAAATAGCCTAGGTGCCCATCAGCAGATGATTGGATCAAAAAACCATGGTATATCTACACAATGGAATACTATGCTGCCATAAAAAAGAAGGAATTCTCATCATTTGCAAAATTGGATAGAATTGGAGAACATAATGCTGAGTGAAATAAGCCAGTCAATGAAACAGAAATACCACATGACCTCACTCATTTATGGATATTAAAGAACATTATAAACTGATGAACCAAAAGACAGATATAAAGACAGTAAAGCAACAAGCAGACTGTCAAATTACAGCGGGGAGGGTAGGGAGATCTGAGGGAGATAAGAGATCAACCGAAGGACTTGTATGCATGCATATAATTACAACCAATGGACACAAAACTCTGGGGAGGGAGGGTATGATGGGGGGGGGCAATGTTAAAATATGTACACAGATAATAATTTAATAAAAAAAATTGGCGCTCAAAAGAAATTTCAATTGTACTGTTGACATTTGGCTCTGTTGACTAATGAGTTTGCCGACCACTGTCCTAGGGCAAAGGAAACTAAAATAAACAAATAAACAAATAAACAAATAAACAAATAAACAAATAAACAAATAAACAAATGGTATATAAAAATCTTGCGCACAGCAAGATAAGCCATCACCAAAATGAAAAGAGAGCCCACTGTATGGGAGAACATATTTGGGAATGATACATCTAACAAAGGGTTAATATCCAAAATATATAAGGAACTCATACAACTTAACAAAAGGAAAACAAACAAGCGATAAAAAAATGGGCAAAGGACCTAGATAGACACCTCTCCAGTGTGTAGACAGCGCCTGGGAAGGCACATGGACATTTCTTTAATTGTTGTCACCTGAGTCCAAGGTGACTGTCAGGGCCCTGTCTGGTCTAGGACACACCCTCCCCAAGAAGGCAGAGAGTGGTATCAGTACCGACTTCTTACCTTTGTCCAGGTGTCTGGAGCAGGCTTAGATATGTAAATCCAGTCAAGCACCAGGAATGCTAGGGCCTACTCAAGAATGCAAACAAGCTCCTTTGATCCTAAGTTTTGGTGATACTTCCTGGTATCTGGGGGGTACTTCCTGGTATGTGGACTCAGGATCCTATCCCTCCATCAGAGTGGCAGCGTCGCACCCAGCTCTGAGCTTTATAAATCTATCTCTGCATCTTCTTTCTATTTTTATTTCTTTTATTTTCTCAATCTCTGGCCACCTCCACTTAGAACCAGTTCATTCATCTCTCTTTCTGTGTTGGACACGGAAAAGGGAGATCCCTGCCATATCTGGCCCCCCGCCACATCTGGCCTCCACAAAGTGGACATACAGCTGGCCAAGAGACATGAAAAATGTTCAAAGTCACTGATTATCAGAGAGATGCAAATCAAAACAACAATGAGGTATCACCTCACACCTGTCAGAATGGCTATCATCAACAAATCAACAAATGACAAGTGCTGGCAAGGATGTGGAGAAAAGAGACCTCTTGTATACTGGTGCAGCCATTATGGGAAACACTCTGGAGTTTCGTCAAAAAGTTGAATACGGAACTGCCATTTGACCCAGTGATCCCACTTCTAGGAATATATCCTAAGAAACCCGAAATACAAATTAGAAAGAATGTATGCACCCCTATGTTTTTGGCAGCACAATTTATAATAGCTAAGATCTGGAAACAATCCAAGTGCCCTTCATTAGATGAGTGGATAAAAAGCTATTGTATATTTATACCATGGAATACTATGCTATCGTGAAAAAGAATAGTATCTTACCTTTTGAGACAGCATGGAGGGACCTAGAGAGTATTATGCTAAGTGAAATAAGTCAGTCAGAGAAAGACAAGTATCACATGATAGCACTCATATGTGGAATCTAAGTAACAAAATAAACTGAAGAACGGAGTGAATCCAGAGACATGGAAGAATGGAACAGAGTGTGCGATCTCAGAGGGAAGACGGGGGATGGTAGGTGGGTGGGAGGTAATCAATCAAGGAACTTGTATGCATATATGCACAACCCATGGACGAAGACAATGGGCAGTAAGGGCCTGTGGCAGCGGGTGGGGGTGGGGAGTGGGGGCAGGCTGGAGGGGATGAAAGGGGCAAATAGGGGACATATATAATACTTTCAACAATAAAAATTTATTAAAATAAATAAATAAATAATTTTAAAAAGAAAGATTGAAAAAGCCAAACCAGTGAATCAGTGCTTGAGTGTCGACCTATGAACCAGGAAGTCATGGTTCGATTCCTGGTCAGGACACATGCCCATGATTGTAGGCTAGATCCGCAGTGGGGGGTATTCAGGAGATAGCTGATCAGTGATTCTCTCTCATCATTGATGTTTCTATCTCTTTTTCCCTATCCCTTCCTCTCTGAAATCAATAAAAATATATTTTTTAAAAAGAAAAAAGATTCAACAAAATGAAAAAATATCACATTTATGGATTAGAAGAATCAACATAGTTAAAATAGACATATTACCCAAAGCAATATACAGGTTTAATGCAATCCTCATCAAAATGCCAATGTCATTTTTTAAAGAAATAGAAGGAGCAATCATCGGATTTGTATGGAACTACAAAAGACCCCAAACAGCCAAAGCAATCCAGAGAAAAAAGAACGAAGTTGGAGGTATCACACTATCTAACTTTAAAATATACTACAGAGCTATGATAATCAAAACAGCATAGTATTGGCAGAGAAATAGATACATAGATCAATGAAACAGAATAGGGAGCCCAGCTATAAGACACATGTGTATGGACATATTATTTTCAAGAAAGAAGCTAGAAACACACAATGGAGTAAAGAGAGTCTCTTCAATAAATGGTACTGGAAAAACTGGAAAGCTACATGCAAACGAATAAAAGTGGATTAAAGTTTGTCCCCAAGTAAAAAATGAATTCAAAATGGATCAAAGGCTTACATATAAGAGCCTAAACAATAAGTTACATAGAAGAAAACATAGGTACCAAACTTATGGACCTGGGTGGTAGAGAGCATTTTATGGACTTGACCCCAAAGGCAAGGGAGGTAAAGGCAAAAATAAATGAATGGGACTACATCAAACTGAAGAATTTCTGCACAGCAAAAGAAAAGGACAACAAAACAAACAGGCAGCCAACCAGATGGGCGACGATATTTGCAAACAGTAGCTCTTACAACAGTTTAATTTCCAAAATATATAAAGAATTAATAAAACTCAACACCAAATAAAAAACCCAATAAAAAAATTGTCAGAAGAGCTGAACAGACACCTCTCTCAAAAAGACATACAAACAGCCAAGAGATATATGAAAATATGTTTGACTGCACTGGCAATCAGGGAAATGCAAATCAAAACTACAATGAAATACCACCTCACACCTGTTAGATTGGCGATTAGCAACAAGACAAGCAATATCAAATGCTGGCAAGGTTGTGGAAAAAAGGGAACCCTCATTCATTGCTGGTGGGAATGTAGACTGGTACAATTACTATAGAATCAACTTATGACCCGGCAATTTCTCTCCTGGGTATATATCCAGAAAACTCTGGTCAAGGGGACGATTTGCATATTAGCCTTTTATTATATAGGATATACACTGAGTGGCCAGATTATTGTGCATTCAGAGATCACAATAATCTGGCCACTCAATGTACATGCTCCCTTATGTTCATTGCAGCATTTTTCACCGTGACCAAGACAGGGAAACAACAAAGTGTCCTTTGATAGAGGACTGGATAAAAAGAAGTGGTACATATACATAATGGAATACTATTCAGCCATAAAAAAGGATGGAATACTGCCATTTGCAACAATGTCAATGGACCTTGAGGATATTATGCTCAGTGAAATGTCAGTCAGAAAAAGCTGGGAACCATATGATTTCACTCATATGTGGTATATAAAACTGAAACTCATGAACAAAACAACAGTGTGATGGTTGCCAGAAGGAAGGGGACAGGTAGTGAATGGGGTTCTAATATATAGTGATGGGAGAAGTTTGACTTTGAGTGGTGGGCACACAGTGCAATATACAGATCTTGTAACATAGAAGCCCACACCTAAAACCTACATGATTATATTAACCGTCACCCCAATAAATTTAATGAAAAGGGGGGAATAAAACACATAGAAATGTTAAGAGTATATAGATCCTTTAACCTGGTAATTCCACATCATGGATTTATTTAATATAATACTTATAATACTATCACATACACTTACTTATTCATCACATAAACATAATATTCCACATATGTGCAAAGATATATATGTACAAGAATATTCACTGAAAAAGGGTGGTAAAAAATAGAGAACAAACAACCTTAAAATTCATTAGTAAGGGACTGGTTAAATGACATATTTGTGAGAAGAATGTTTACAAGCAAGTTCATTAATTATTTCAGATCTGGAACTTGGTTTCATTTTTTAATAGTGATAAGAATGGTGCAGTACTAGGAAAGTTATGGAAAATGCTGTCAATTTTACTTTAAATTGAGAATCTGGTGTTTCTGTATTTTATTGTTTTCAGTAAAATTTCATATGTGTTTTGGACTTTTTGAGGGAAAAAAACTATATAGCCTATTTTAAAAATCAAGTAGACCTATAAGTATTGATACAGAGTCTACATCACTGTAGAAAAAATGCCAAAATCTTTTGTTAACTGAAAAGCATGGTGCAGACGGTGTTAACAGTCTGTTTCTATTTTTTGAACAGATAAGGATGGTAGGTACACATACATGTATGTGTATACACACACATACAAACACTTGTAAGGTCACAGAATATCTGGTAGACTATACAAGAAACTGGTATGAGTGGTGATATCTGAAGGACAAGGGGTCAGAAGTAAAAAAGAGACTCACTGAATTTTTTCTACCATATGCATCTACTGGCTTTTCAAAATAAATATTTCTTGCCTTTTTGAAGCTATGTTTATTGTTTTATGCAATATGAATGTTAGCAGAATCCTAGGTTTACTCTTAATCATTGGATTTTAAAACCTGTTTTGCACAGTAAATATTTTCATTTTATTTGAAAGTTAAATAACATAAAAAATATACTGTAAAGTCTCCTTCCCACCTGTGACTCCCATCTCTGCAGTTTTCCCCCACTAGAGATAACTACTATCATCAGTTTCTTATATAACTTCAGTTTCTCTATGCATATATAAACAAATGCAAATCTCTACTATCTTCATCCTTTGCCCTTTTTTTCACAAAGATAATTTACTATTACATAAACAATTTTTGCACACCTGGCTACTTTCACTTATTAACATACCTTAAAACCAAAATCACAAGGCACAAAAGAAAAAAACAATCTGGACATATTCAAAATACTCTGTGCTTCAAATTTAAAAACCTTTTATTATATGGCTTCTGAATATTCATAGTTAGAAAGGGCTGCAGCACTCCAAGAATAAAGAAATGCTTTGATTTCCTAGGGTACACTTATGGTTTTCCCTTTTTACGTTTAAATCTCTAACTCCTTTATAATGTATCCTGGTATCCAGTGTGAGACACATATCCAACTTTTCTTTTCACCATGGCTTGTCAGTTGTCCACTGTCATTTATTGAATAGTCCATCTTTTCCCCATTGATTTGAAATGCTGCCTTTATCATATATTTTTTTTAAAATTAAAGAATATAATAAAAATGCCGAGACCAGTTTGGCTCAATGGATAGAGCGTCGGCTTGGGGACTGAAGGGACCCGGGTTCGATTCCGGTCAAGGGCATGTACCTTGGTTGCGGGCATATCTCCAGTAGGGGGTGTGCAAGAGGCAGCTGATCGATGACTCTCTCTCATCGATGTTTCTAGCTCTCTCTCTCTCTCCCTTCCTCTCTGTACAAAATCAATAAAATATATTTTTAAAAAAAGAATATAATAAAAATAAAGTACAAATGGAAGAGTAAATGTGTAAGAGTACATAGACAAGGAAATAAGACTGAAAACAAATGGGCTTCATGCTATCATTTGGGGTAGAAGTTCTTTTACAACTTTCCCAATTTTGTTTCCATGGTTACTGGTCTATTTAGATTTACTCTATCTTCTGGAATTAGTATTAACCATTGCATTTTCCCAGAAAATCACCCATCTAGGATTTCAAATGCATTGCAAGTAGTTGTACAAAGTACTTCTGATCATTTTTTAAAATGTCTTATTACTAGTTATGCTCATTTTCTCATTTAAGACTATATTTTTATGTTTTAGTTCTTTATATTCTTGATTTGGTTTATATACCTATTTTATTTTATTTTTCCAATAATACCTACTTGTTTGTGAGTCCACAGGATTTGGTTTGTAGTTAATTAATTTATGGATATTTTTTAACATTGTTGATTTATTCCTTCAGTTTCCTCTAGGTTTATTGTTCTTTTTTCTGGCTCACTGACTTCAATGCTCAATTCATTTACTTTTATTTTCAGTTTTAAGTTATTTTTATTGAATTTATTGGGGTGACATTAGTTAATAAAATTATATAGGTTTCAGGTGTACGATTCTATAACACATCATCTGTATATTGTACTGTGTGTTCACCACCCCAAGGCAAGTCTCCTTCCATCACCATTTATCCCCTCTACTTCTCCTAATCCCTTCCCTCTGGTAATCACCATACTATTGTATGTGTTTGTGAGGGTGATTTTTTCATTCGTTTGAATTTGCTTAATCCCTTCAATTCATTTACCTTTAAATCTCATTTTTTTATCTAATCATATCATATGCACTTTATACCCACCTATGTGGTTTGAATATTACAAATAAATTGTATTACTTATATAAAAAGAGGAAGGAGAAAGGGAGAGAGAGAAAAAGAGAGAGAGATTATAAGAAGAAAACATTTCAAACAATCAAAATAATTGACCAGGGCCAGAAGGAAGAGGCATTCACTTTGGGTGCAAAATTTAATAGGATGCCAAAAACAAACAAACAACTCAGTAATCAAGACACATAATATTTTTATGCAGTATTTTGGAAAATCAAATTAGAAAACTATGGCCTGAAGGCTGGTTGCCTAATTTGTCAATAAAGTTTTATTGGAACCAGAGCCAGGATTAGTGTAAGGTGAATGAGGCAAGGTTTAACAAGTAGAAGAGTAAATATCACCTTTCTAAACAATCTTAATATTTTGTTCATCATTGATTTGTGTACTAATTTTTATTTTTGAAAATATGGCATTAAAAATGTATCTCAATTACTGAGATTTTGGGCATCCTTTAAGTTATACACAGAAGTGAGTTGCTTCACTTGCCTTACCCAAGACTGGACCCTATAATTGACACTTAGTGACACTTTTTTTCTGTTTGTTAACACTTCTCTATATTTTCCTAATTCCTCAAAATAAGCATGAATTACTTTGATCATCAGGAAAAAAATAACTTAAAAAAGATGTCGAGACTCACTCAATGATGTTCCTAGTGGTTTCACCATAGGGCTTGCAGGAAATAAAAACTAGTGTGCGGATGGCCCTGCAGTTTCGAATGGCTTGAACCACCTGGTAATCTGAAGGCAGAAAGACATTGCTATTAATAGAATTAAACTATCGCCAAAACCGGTTTGGCTCAGTGGATAGAGTGTCGGCCTGCGGACTAAAAGGTCCCAGGTTTGATTCTGGTCAAGGGCATGTACCTTGGTTCCCGGCACATCCCCAGAAGTGGGTGTGCAAGAGGCAGCTGATCAATGATTCTCTCTCATCGATGTTTCTAACTCTCTATCCCTCTCTCTTCCTCTCTGTGAAAAATCAATAAATTAAAAAAAAAAAAAAAATATATATATATATATATATATATATATGTATATGTGTGTGTGTGTGTGTGTGTGTGTGTGTGTGTATATATATATATTAAACTATCATGATCTGGGTTATCACAAACTCTCAAGTGGCCAGCACCAAAACTGGTGAGGAATAGAGAAAAAGAGTTCAGAGCCAGTCAAATGGGGGCACCGTTAACATGCTGTGTGAAGGGGGCTAAAGCTAGGGAACATCATGGGAACATCCAAATAGTTCTAAGCAGGAAAGCTATTCATCCTTACGCAGTCCTGCCCGGGCTGGGTTTACCACAGCAACAATTAACTGCCCATTTTCCTTTGACTTTAGCAGCTGTGGCAAAATCTTCTCTGCTTGACCAGCATAGAATTCACAGTTGGTGATGCCTGCAGAAGAGAGACCCACATGACATAAATGAAAACTCATGCCCAACAGTGGGGTACAGGGAGCTTTAGCTTTATAGAAATGTACAGGAGCCAGGGCTCTGCCATCTTCCTTTGGATCCAGCATACCTCTGAATAACAATGAAAGAAATGCTTCTGGACCTGCTTCATTTTTCCAATGTGCTTTCCCTTGCAATATCTCAATAGGCCTTTCAGCTTAAGAGGCTAGACAGTGTTATTTTACAATTGTGCGACTCACACATCATATAAGTATCTATCTCAAGAAGAGAACCTTGACTTTTACCCTTGTGCTCTTCTGTTATTGAAGATTTTCACACAGAGACATCAGAGTTGTATGAAGGTGTGATGTGGGGGACAAAGGGATCTATTTTCTATATTGCAATTTGGCATAAGATTTTGTTCAGAGAAAATGTTCTGTTGGTAAAAATAGTTTGAACCTATTGTATTATGTTCTGGTGCCTCAAGAATCTAATTTCAAGAGGCTCTTCTATATGATCCAAAGTTATGACAAGTTCCCCTGCTATCAGTTAGGCTTATTTCTTCCCTCAGGCTCCACCTCTAGATAGGAAAAAAAAAAAAAAAGATTTAGCTATTGGGATCTCTTTCAGAAAACCATAAGGACGCAACTCTGATCACTCCAGAACACCCTCCCTTTCTCCCCACAGGTCATGGATACAGTATATGCCCTTTCCCCCCAAGTAACCGTTTTCCAGCACAGAAACAACTGCAGCTGCTCATTTCTCCCCAGACTGTGAGCAGTGTACCATTGAAGGCTGCAGTCCACCTGGCGTCCTCTACCGCCTGCTCCACCAACTCAATCCCAAGGACCTGGGAGGTATATTTAGCCAGAGAGAGACCAATCACACCTAGGGAAGTAAGAGAGAATGAGAGGAGGGTATTTTAGGGCTTCAAACTAATGAGTTTATGTCTGCACCACTACCACCATCACCTCCCCACCCGGGACCTAGTGTGCTGGGTGAATGGAGTTTGGGAGCTAGGCAGCATGTAGATTCGGCCCTGGGCTACCACTTGCCAGTTCCACAGCAGATATCAAGGAGGATGGTGTTAGAATTCACTCCACTCAGCTTCCCTATGGTCCGATAGAGCATCTCTGCACCAGCAGTGTTAATTTGGAAAAAGGCATCTGGAGAGATGCGGACCTTCAAGCCCAAGAGCTCTTCAAAGATGTGGGGTTCCCCAAAAAGGAGCTGGAAGGGGGACTGCTGATGGCTGCAGCGGGTCCTGGTGCTGGAAAAGAATGAAAGAAAAAAGCACCTTAAAATTGTAGACCATTTTGTCTCTAGTGGTTGGTTGGAGAGGGAGGCCCTAGCATCTCATTTAGGAGGCACAAGCTCTATGGCATGGCCCTGAGCTCTGTAGGAGTTCCCCTCTCATGCGATGGAGGAGCATGCACACACTCTCTCATCTACAGTCTGGCCTCGGTTCCTGGACCTGCATGCTGTACAAGGGCCAATACCATTTAGCCCTGATCCACCATCAGCAGCAGCCCTGCCTCAGCAATCCCCAACCCAGACTATGATGGCAAGCCATCCGCCTCGTGCTTGTTTGGCTGTCCCAGGTTTACCTTTCCTGGAAGTACAGTGATGTCAAGTTACAGCCTGCTCCTGGACCTTTGATGAAAAACTCCTTTACAGTTTCCTTCTGAACACAGAGCTCCTCCTGCCCAGACCACAAAATCAGGAATCAAGCAAAGACTCATCTCTCTGACAAGTTTTCTCTCCTGGCTCAACAATCATCAGCCCTGCAGTGGTCACACAAGAGGGCACATTTCTCTAATTGTATTATAAATAACACTTAGCATAAAGCAATGTTCTATAGGACAAAAAATAAGTTATTTCACATCTCAGTAGAAGCATCGCTTTCCTTACTGGCTTTTGACAAATCCTATAACATAGATACACACTTTCTCTATTCCGAGCCCCTTTAAAGAAAGTATGAGTTATTCTTATAAACAGGAGCTAAACTAAGCTTTTGTCCCAGCCCAAAGAAGCAGTAACCTTTCAATTCCCTTCATACTTCTCCATCTCAAACATCCCAACCACTCACAAACACCACCTCAGAAGACATGAGAGATAGGAGAATGAAAAGTGCTAGGAAGAGAATGAGCATGGTAACTAACTCCTTTATTTGAGTTCAGAATATTTTAAAATGCCTATATCACTACAGAGAGTCTAAGCATTAGCTTAACACAAGTATATACCACAAACAACTATGTTGGAGCTATAGAGTTAAAAGGCCAGGAATTAGCCGAAACCGGTTTGGCTCAGCGGTAGAGCGTCGGTCTGCGGGCTGAAAGGTCCCAGGTTCGATTCCGGTCAGGGGCATGTGCATTGGTTGCGGGCACATCCCCAGTAGGGGGTGTGCAAGAGGCAGCTGGTCGATGTTTATCTCTCATTGACGTTCCTAGGTCTCTATCTCTCTCCCTTCCTCTCTGTAAAAAATCAATAAAATATATATATTTTTTAAAAGGCCAAGAATTAATGACTTGACTTCAAACCCTAGCATGGCTATTTCCTGGCTCTGTAACCTTGGGTACTTCTAGGCCTCTATTTTGCCCATTTGTGAAATAAGGATGACAAATCCTCTCCTCCCATGTACATCACAAGTGGGTTAAGATGATCACTCAAGTACAGGAATACTTTAACGTGTGAATGCTTGAAAGCTCCAAGTGCATTACAAATGTAAAGTATTATTTGGGTTATGAAATTTTAATTATACTCTAGTCTCTATTGAATTGATTTTTGGATTTAGCAGAGCACCTACTAACTTCCATGGGCAAAATTCTTATGAAAATACTTAGGGTTCCTAAAAAATACTCAGGGGTCCTTACATGATAATTAACTTGGTAACCTGGCCTCAGTCTCCATGTTTTGATAATCCTACCAGCATTATCAACCCCTCTTGACAACCCACATGGATATCTGTGATGTGCAGTTTCTGTTACCTGCTTTGAAACTTCCAAAAGCCAACGACAGCATAGTAGTAGTAGGGGTTGCTATGGAAGCTGCCCAGTATCATCCTGGGAGACTCACCTGACTTAATTCCTGGGGATGGAAAGTAACGATGGCCATTGTGTGCCCTTGGCTATTGGTGCGGACTATGAGCTCACGCCAGTGTCCACCTTCATGAAACTGAAGGCAGGGCTCCAATGGGGACTGTCGAAGGAATACTTCGTAGTACTAGGAAGAAAACACTATTATTACACAGGCAAAACTAACAAGTTATAAGATGATTATTTATGCTGAGTGATTGTTATGGACTGCATTGTAATCCTCCCCTCCAATTCACACATTGAAGTCCTCCCAGTACCTCAGAATGTGACTACATTTGGAGATAATGTCTTTGGAGGTAATGCAACCCAGGCATGTGCCCTGACTAGTAACTGAACCAAGACCTCCTGGTTCATAGGTAGACTCTCAACCACTGAGCCACACTGGCTGAGCTAAATTTCCAACATCTTGATCTCAGACATTGCCTTTAGAACTATGAAGAAATAAATTTCTGTTTAAGCCACCTAGTTTGTAGTATTTTGTTATGGAAGCCTTAGCAAACTAATAAAGTAATGTATGAAACATGATCCCTACCCTTTCACCTTACAAAAGGACATTTTCCAAACAGTAAGCTTCAGGAAAGCTTAGAGTTGTATCTGGCACATAATAGTTGCTCAATAATTATTATCGAAAGAAGGCATGAATGAACAGGAAAGGTATTTTATTTGTATGTACAACCTAAGGTTATACTATATACTAGTGGTCTGGTACACAAAATTCATACACATTAAGTGGGAATTAATTAGAGGAAATATTTTAAAAATATATTTTATTGATTTTTTTACAGAGAGGAAGGAGAGGGATAGAGAGCTAGAAACATCGATGAGAGAGACACATCGACCAGCTGCCTCCTGCACACCCCACCAGGGATGTGCCTGCAACCAATGTACATGCCCTTGCCTGGAATCAAACCTGGGACCTTTCAGTCCTCAGACAGACGCTCTATAGAGGAAATATTTTAATATTGCTTATTTGCCCTTTCTCTATAATAGAAGTGACAGAGATGAAAAAAAATTGGTAAAATATAAATGAAAATCTGCCTCCTGTCAGAGTAGGGGGTGCGCTGCAGACCTAGAGTCAAGTCCCTGCTCACCAGCGCACACACTTCAAAAAAGCAGGAGACCCAGACCTGGCCAGCCCCACCCTTATTGGGTGAGACCTAGACCCAGCTGGCCCCACCCCATCAAACCTCTCCAGGCGCGGGCGCAGCCTCAGGTCCCCCAGCCCAGTGCCTGGTGGGAAGCACAGTCTCAGGTCCTCTGTCAAGCTCAGCCAGATGGAAGGCGTAGCCTCAGGTTACAGACCAGAAGCTGGGGTGGAGGGCGGGGCCTGAGGTCCCCTGTCAAACTCTACCAGGCAAGGGGTGTGGCTTGAGGTTCCCCATCAAGTCCTGCCTGGGGGGGGGGGGGGGGGGTGCGCCACAACCTGAGGTCCCCATCAAGCCCCGAACACCAGGTGGCAGGGGGGATGCAGCCTGAGGTTTGATTCAGGTCAAGGGCATGTACCTTGGTTGCGGGCACATCCCTAGTGGGGGGCATGCAGGAGGCGGCCAATCGATGTTTCTCTCTCATTGATGGTTCTAACTCTCTATCCCTCACCCTTCCTCTCTGTAAAAATCAATAAAATAAAATTTAAAAAAACACACACACAAGGTGAAGAACAGTGTCCACATTAGGCTACCTTCCCACTAAGAAAAGGGGAAATACAGATATGGTTTTGTTTCTTAAAATAAGCAAAAATGAATAACAATTGTAACCCATAGAAGGAGGGTTGTAACTCAATAAAGGCTACAGAGATGGAAGACCACTTTAAATGAATCTTTATTTTGCAGATTTGTCTTTGGAGCCATGTAAACATATTTTTTAAATTATAAAACAAAACTTAATCAAAATGGAAAAGAAAAAAAAATCAACCCATACAATTTGAAAACAAGCAAAATGAAAACAAAACACCTATGTATCGAGTATCAAATTAGTGTCTTAACTACAAAAAAAATTATTGCAAGAGGCACAATAATTTGACACTGGACAGAAACCCTGAGCTCTTTCCAGTAATCGTTTTCTGGTAATAATATTGGTACTGTTATTCTGAAATTATATACATGAATGAAATAAAAAAGTAATTGAAGTAATCTTGTCAGAACTAAAATTCTATTGTGAGATACAAGAAATAAAAATATAAAGCAGCCCTGGCTGGTGTGGTTCAGTTGGCTGGGTGTCACCCCATGCACTGAAATATTGCAGGTTGGATTCCCAGTCAAGGCACATCCCTGGTTGCAGGCTAGATCCCCAGTAGGGGGTGTGCAAGATGTTTCTCTCTCCTCAATGTTTCTATCTCTCTATCCATCGCCCTTCCTCTCTCTCTCAAAATCAATAAAAAGTTCTTTAAATATACACATTTAAAAAAATATATATATATATAAGCAAAGGCTTGCCGAAACAGGTTTGGCTCAGTGCTAGAGCATCACTCTGTGAACTGAAAGGTCCCAGGTTCGATTCCGGTCAAGGGTATGTACATTGGTTGTGGGCACATCCCCGGAAGGGGGTGTGCAAGAGGCAGCTGGTCTATGTTTCTCTCTCATTGACATTTCTAGCTCTCTATCTCTCTCCCTTCCTCTCTGTAAAAAAACAATAAAATATATTTTAAAAAAGAAAAAAGAAAAAGCAAAGGCTTTAAGTAAAAACTACCATTCTAAATTTGATTTCACTAATCTGATATCATTATGAACTCATGATATATTTTCCTCTTTAAAAAATATTCCCTAACTCTTACCAAGACCGGTTTGGTTCAATGGATAGAGCGTCAGCTTGGAGACTGAAGGGTCCCGGGTTCGATTCCAGTCAAGGGCATGTACCTTGGTTGCGGGCATATCCCCAGTAGGGGGTGTGCAAGAGGCAGCTGATCGATGACTCTCTCTCATCGATGTTTCTAACTCTCTATCTCTCTCCCTTCCTCTCTGTACAAAATCAATAAAATAAAATAAAATAAAATAAATATTCCCTAACTCTGTTTACTACAAAGGTCTTTGAAATATGACCAACCCAATATAAATGAGCACCCCCTAGCACCCATACTTTGAGCTTCAAATATAATTTTCCACTAAAAGAGATAAGAATTCCTCAAAGAAATGGATGACTGCAAGTCTAAGGCAGAAAATAGTCTTAGATGGGCTAGAATTATCATTCCAGAACTACCAGAGCCATCTAGGGCTCTGAGGCAACTTAAAGAGGTTCCAAATGGCCAAAGATAGAACAATTTGAGTACCAAAAAATAGTACCTGCGTAGACTGAAACATCAATTATATTAATAGTCCAGGAGTTCATAATGATACCAAAACAAATGAATAGGGCATGATAGACTCAGAATATCAATGCATTGCAAACCCTCATGAAATAATGGATCTAGACAGTGATTATTAATAACTGCTAAAACCAGTAAGTGACAAGTTTGAGGGAACTTTTTAATGATTGTGAACAGGCTGATGACACCTGAATCCACTCTTCAATCTTAACATCACCAAAAGAGAGCCCATGAGACACATATTCACAAAAACAATCACACAAAAAAACAACAACCTAAATCTAATCAACACACCAGATCCACCAGTTTATACGAAACACAGGAGACAGGGTAAAAAGTGACATCATGGGGATTCAATCAGCAAAATCCAGAATGAGGAATATAAAACAGTTTCTTCAAAAATAAATTACAAAGACAAAAAATAAAGAGGGATTACTCACAAATTAAGAGAGACTGAAGGGACATATTAAACACAATCTGTCTACTGATTTGAAAAAACCAACTATAAAAATCAAACCATTTATGAGATAAAATCAAACCATTTATGAGATAAATCAACATGAAATCTGAACATTTACTGGATGTTTGATGATATTATGGGATAAATATTTATTTCTACTATGGGGTTACATTTAAAAATTAAGTCCTTTCTTTTAGAATTCACACTCAAGTACAGTGTTTACATCCTATCTAATAAAAGAGTAATATGCAAATTGACCATCACTCCAAAACACAAGATGGCTGCCCCCATGTGGACACAAGATGGCTGCCACAAGATGGCTAGGAGGAGGGGGCAGTTGGGGGCAAGCAGTTGGGAGCCAGTAGTCCTGGACTGTGAAAGGGATCCCAGATTGGAGAGGGTGCAGGCTGGGCTGAAGGACAACCCTCTGTGCAAATTTCATGCACCCTGCCTCTAGTTTTTTATAATATAACTAGAGGATTGGTGAGTGAAATTCATGCAAGGGGTGGGGAGAAGGGTGTGGTGTCCCTCAGCCCAGCCTGCACCCTCTCCAATCTGGGACATCCCTCTCACAATCCAGGACTACTGGCTCCCAACCGTTCATCTGCCTGCCTTCCTGATTGCCCCTAACCACTTCTGCCTGCCAGCCTGATCACCCCCTAACCACTCCTCTGCCAGCCTGATTGATGCCTAACTGCTCCCCTGCCAGCCTGGTTACCCCTAACTGCCCTCCCTTGCCGGCCTGGTCACCCCCAAAGGCCCTCCCCTAAAAACCTGGTTGCCCCTAACTGCTCTCCCCTGCAGGCCTGGTTGCCTCTAACTGCCCTCCTCTGAAGGCCTAGCTGCCCCCAACTGCCCTCCCCTGTAGGCCTGGTCACCCCCAACTGCCCTCCCCTGCTGGCCCGATTGCCCCTAACTGCCTTTCTCTACAGGCTTGGTCATCCCCAACTGCCCTCCCCTGATGACCTGGTCACCCGCAACTGATCTCCCCTGCTGGCCCAACTGCCCCTAACTGCCTTCCCCTGCTGGCCTGGTTGCCCTCAACTTCCCTCCCCTGCAGGCCTGGGTACCCCCCAATTGCCCTCCCCAGCCGGCCTGATTGCCCACAACTGCCCTCCCCTGCCGGTCATCTTGTGGCAGCCATCTTGTGTCCATATGAGGGTGGCCATCTTTGACCACATGGGCTGGCCATCTTGTGTATTGGAGTGACGGTCAATTTGCATATTACCTCTTTGTTATATAGGATGTCTGGAATTTGCCTCAAAGGAATCCAAAGGTAGAAAGTAGATGAGAGTGTAGAGAAAATAAGATTGGACACATATTGATAAATTGTTGAAGCTGGTAATGGGTATATTTGGTTCATTATACCATTCTCTACTTTGATATATTTTTAATTTTCCATTATATAAAATTAAGGAAAAATTTGTACAATAAAGAAAAACAAAATGTTAATATACCTAGTTGGCTCAGGAGTGAATATCTACATAGTCATAACAATATAAACACTAAATATTAATTCAACAAAAATTGTGCTATAAAAATAGAAGACAGGTAGTTTAGGAGATAGGAGAAACAAAGTAAGAGAGATAAATTCTTACATGTCATAACTGGAAGTCAACATATAATCTGTAAATTTGACAAATCATGATAAATTAGAATAGAATAATGTACAATTTAGAAATATGAACACCAGAAGACATAGCTACAATAATGGCTTTTGTTTCTCAGGAGCAAGACTCAAGAGTAAGAGGGGTGGGACAGAGGAGCACCATTTTTCCTTTCTAACCTATTAGTATTATTTGACATTTTAAACTATGTACTTGTATTTCTTTGATAATATTTAAGACCACTTTCTAATTCTTGGTACTCTGACAGCTCCCATAAAACTCACATTCTGAGTTAAGCCTAGAGTACATATTTAAACCTCAAACTGGGGCAGACTAGGGTAACTCTGTGATCTTAATGGAATGGAATGACATGACCAGTAATAGGGGAAGGGAAACGAAGGTACAAACAAATTGAGAACAGCACAGCATATGCTGTCTGTCTGTCTGTCTATCTGATACTGTTATTATTTCAATGGGAATCTGGCCTGTATTTAAGTATCTACTAGGTTGGATCCTAGGTCCAAAACAAATTCTGCAGGGAAGAGGGATTCGACTGGATAGATGTGGAGGGTAAAAATTTACCCAACAAAATCTGGAAGGGCTAGAAACTTGGGTAAATATTGCAAAGAGATAATCATTCACCAAATTATAATCATTCACTGATAAGCATCTATTATGTGTTTGAATCTGTGTTAACTGCTAGGCTACAAAGTTAAATAATACACAGCTACTACCTCCACATCCATTGTGGGAAGCACCAGTACATGACAATGCAATATGGTATAACAAGTGCTATAACAGGAGATATGCAATGAGATACAGGAGTGCAAAAGAGAGTAATCCCTAATGAGAATGAGGAGTCAAATAAGATTTTCTACAGAATCTGATGCTTTGAATGCTAGAGCATAAGTAAAAACCGGGCAAAGAAAACTGACGGCATTCTAGAAAGAGGAAAGCCTCAGGCAGGAATAAGATTTCTCTCTCACACCAATGTCTGTCTGTCTGTGTGTGTCTGTCTGTCTCTCTCTCTCTCTCTCTCTCTCTCTCTCTCTCTCTCCTCTCTCCCTCTTCTTCCCTCTCTTCATCCCTCCCTCCCTTTCTCCCTCCCTTCCTCCCCTCTCTCTAAAATAAAATAAACAATTTAATTTTTTCAAAAGCTATTGGGCAACTGCTGCAGAATTTTAAGAAAGAGAATGGTATGATCTCACTTGCATTTTAAGGATGGCTCTGGCTGCAGTGTGGAGACATGGAGGCAGAGGGTTGGAATTAGTGGAGCCAATTTGGAGGCAAGAGAGGATAGTAGCTTGGACTAGAGTGGTGATGGTTATGATGGCAGTGGAAACAGAGAAGAGGATGAAGTCAAAGTATTTTTAGAAAGGAAAACTTATAGGACTTAGAGAATGATTAAATGTGGCTGAGGAGGAAATGGGTTTAGAACAGAGAAGCCAAAAAATAATAATAGAACAGAAGAGACTTGACACATGTTTCTAGTCATGGTGCTACCATTTAATAAAGTGAGAATAAAAGAAGCACATCTGGAAAGGGAAGAATATAACTTTAGTTTAGGGATACTGGTTCTCACCTACAGGTGACTGTGTCCCCCAAAATACATCTGGAAACATTTTTGGTTATCACAACTAACAGCATGTAATGGGTAGAAGTCAGGGATACTGCTAAACATCCTACAGCCCCACACAACAAAAAATTATCCAACCACCCTAGCTTATTTGACTCAATGGATAGAATGTTGACCCTCTGACTGAAGGGTCGCAGGTTCGATTCCAGTCAAGGGCACGTACCTCAGTTGCAGGCTTGATCCCTGGCCCCAGTCAATGCACATGTGGGAGGCAATCAATCAATGTTTCTCTCTCTGTCTCTCCCACTGCCTTCTACTCTCTCTAAAAATCAATGAAAAAAATATTCTCAGGTGAGGATTAACAAGAATAAAATTATCCAACCCAAAATGCCAATACTGTGGAAGTTGAGAAACTTTGATCTAAAGCAATGCTGATTTGAAGAACACTGCAGGCCAGCTAGGTGAGGACGTTCAGCAGCCTCCTAAAGCTCAAGAGGGAGCAGGAATGCCAATACAATTGACCCTTAAACCACACAGGTTTGAACTGTGTTGGTCCATTTATATTCAGGTTTTTCGCAATAAATATATTGGAAAATTTGGGGAGATTTGCAACAATTTGAAAAAAAAAAAAACCTCACAGACAAACCTTATGCTTTTTAAAAATAACCTTTTCTTTTCTCTAGTTTACTTTATTATAATAATACAGTATATAATAATACTATATATAACTATGTTATTAGTAAGACTTCTGGTCAACTGTAGGCTATTAGTAGTTAACTTTGGGGAAGTCAAAACTTATACATAGATTTTCAACTGCAAGGCTGGTCAGTGCCCCTGATCCCCACATTATTCAAGGGTCAACTGTATAAGTTTAGAACTTATCAATTTACCGTGGTCATTCCAGTCATCAGCTATAGTTGGGTACCATCACCCATCAATATATTAAAAAAGAAGGTTGACAGAGCCCAAGGGACACCAACTTATAGTGGGAAAGGAGAAGAGGAAAAGATTCCATGAGAAAAACTAAGAAGTAGCCAGTGAGATAGGAGGAAAGTCATCAGAAAATGTTATCATAGAAACCAAACAAAAACAGTGCTTCCAGGAGGGAAGTGAGAATAATAAGTAGTGCCAATGGCAGAGAAAAGCTGAGCAAGTTAGGATTAGAAAGTTTTCATTGGATTTGGCAAAATGGAGGTCACTGATGACTTTGGTGAGATCAATTTCCAGGGAGTGTTGGGGGCAGAAGTAAGAACCATCATATTAAGAAAAGATTATATATATTGAACATGTCTATGAACTAAAAGAAAGGAGCAGATAGAGGTGAGGGGAAGGAGATAATGAAACAGGAGAAAGAAGGCACATTATGAAGGTGCAAGATCTTAAGAAAGGAGAAGATGATTTCATGTTGGTGTTTCAAGGAAGGAGAGCATCAGATAGGGAAAGGACCAATAGCCTTTCACTGATGGGAAGGGAGGAGGGATAAAATTTCAGCAAAGTTGGTGGATGGTAGGAGAAGCAGCTAAGGGAGTTATCATTATCATCCCTTAATTTTCTTTTCTTTTTTTTAAATAAGTTTAATCTTAATTTTTTATTTTATTTATCTTAAGAATAGTTTATTGGTTTTTAGAGACAGAGGAAGGGAGAGGGATATAGAGAAACATCAATGTGAAAGAACAACATGGATCAGCTGCCTTCTGCATGACCCCTACTAGGGATCGAGCCCACAATACCTTAATAGGGAATCAAACTGGCAACCTCCTGGTGCATAGGACAATGCCCAAACAACTGAGCCACACTGTCCATGGCCTTAATTTTCCAGGGGAAAAAAAACAAGAATGCTCCTCTGCCAAGTGCAAGGGTAAAGGCAATGGGATAGGAAATTTGAGGAGAGGTTAAGAGTTTACAATAATTCTTAAAGAGAATCGGAGAACAAGCTGACAAGGGTCATGCAGGAAGATTTCTAAAGGCTATCTTACCAAGGGAGCTGTGTCCTAGCAGGGAAATCTTGGAAGCCATGTTGTGTTCTGTCAGAAGGCATTACTCAAGTGTCAGAAACCTGAATTATTAAGAGGCTGGGTGCTGATAAGAATTATCTAAATATAGAAAAGCCCAGCGACCATTACAGCGGAACAACTGGTCACTATGACATGCACTGACCACCAGGGGGCAGATGCTTAATGCAGAACCTGCCCCCTGGTGGTCAGTGCGCTCCCAGTGGGAGCACTGCTCAGCTAGAAGCCAGGCTCACAGCTGGCGAGTGTAGCAGTGGTGGTGGTGTGGTGATGGGAGCCTCTCCTTCCTCTGTGGCAGCACTAAGGAACAGCGAGCCAAGCAATAAGAAGTGGGCAGGCGGGCAGTAAGGAGTGGTGAAACAAGAGGTAAGGAGCAAGCAGGCAAGTTAGGAAGGAGAGGTCCCAGGTTGCAAGAGGAAACAGGCCGGGCTGAGGGATACCCCCCTGCCCCATGCATACATTTCGTGCACCGGGCCTCTAGTCAGGTAATAAGAATGTTAGCTGGGAGTTATGTTTAGTCATCACGAGTAGGACTTTTGCTTTAAGTTCCATGAGGGCAGGCACCATGTCCATTTGATCCCCAGTACCCAGCACAGTGCCCAACACATAATAGGCACTCAGTAAATAGTGGGTGTATGACAAAAGGACATACAAATATTTCAGAGGCCACCCCCCTGATGGAAACGCCTTACCACCACCCCCACATCTCTTAATCATAGTTCTCAATTCTGTTCTGCTGAAAATACTAGCCTTTCAAATATTTCAGATACCTGCAACTTGCTATACTGCCCTCAGCAATACTTCTCTTTCCTAAGAATTTCCTATTAAAATTCCTCAGATGTCTGACATTTGATGCAGTTTTCTCTCCTCCTTTCCACCCTCCTTTAATGAAACACTAGCAATGTTCTCTACACATTAAGAAGTATGCTTTCAGAACAGAGCCTCATCTCCCTGAAGCAGCTCTATTATTAAAATGTCAGAGAGGCTGCTATTCCAGACTGCAAATCCCTGGGTCATCTCCAACCAGCTCTAATTCCTTATTACCTGGGCCACTTGACTGTGTTTCTCAGGGATGTTTTTCAGATGGTTAGACCGCACACAGACGATGTTTCTGTCTACAGAAAGGAAAATAATTTCATTTATATGTTTTTTTCACCTAAAATATTATTTAAAAGAAAATGTCTGGCAACTCAAATTCCCTTCTTCAAAGAGGCATATACAGATATGGAGAAGCACAGTACCTACTTCAAGCTCAAAGCCATTTTTTAGAGAAAACCTGTTTCCCAGTCTAGCCATTAAGAACCTCATTCTTAATGAAGCTAGTATGCAATATTTTATTTCATGCTATATGACAACATCTACTTTCTGTTTAGAATTTAAAATGGAAATAAAATACAGTGGAATTTTTTTTCCTGTTACTAAAAAATAGAACAATAACGCCATATGCTCATTTAATTCTGTGCACAGGTGGTGGGGGGAGCCAAGTGCCTGCCCTAACAAACTGTAGTTTAAGACATATGGATATTAGACAGTGTGACTAACATAAAATCATGGTGTTTCAAGTGGATTTATTGAAAATGGGCCAATACAAAGTTCAAGAAGGGAATCTGGGAATGGATAATGGAATTAAGTCTTAGAAATATGCCATTATGATTTTCTTCACCAACACCTCCCCTATTTATTCTTTTAAGGTCAATTTGTCAGAGAAAGCTCTAGTTTTCAGGGATAAGGGGCTGTGAATATAAAAGACATTTCAATAAGGAGGATACTGCTTCCCAGTACAGAAAGTAGCACAAAATAATGACGATGATAATGCTGATGAGAGAGCAGTAGCAGCACACAAGTAATCTAGTTTCCTGCCAGGAACCATCTTTGAAAAATGTGGTAATTTACATTCGGATAAACCAAACCTGGTTTTCCAGAGCTACTGGCAAATAAAAAGTAAAGTTTAAATTTGCCTCATAAAAAACCTGGAGGACAGAATTGAAGTTACTAATTGATTATGTAAATGTTATTAATCTAGGAAATGCTAAGTATATTTGACTTGCCAGCTTAAACGTTCAAAGTGCAAATTAAATTGGGAGAAATTATATAGTTGTGGTAATTAAGTGCCTAAAGTATAAGAACTTATTTTTGAGAAAATAAAATGTGTTTTCTCTAATAATTAGGAATTCAAACTTAGTTGCTTATTATTGGTCTAATTAAAAAAGGAATTCTGTGATCCCAACCAAAATTTTTCTATGCAAAAACTAGTTTAAGATCTAATTGATATCTTAAGATAATTATAAGAAGTATTATAATGTAGAAATCATATATAAACATTTGTTTGATGGTTTTTTTCAATGTTAAAATTTCAAGGCTTTAACAAAGATGATTCTTGGATAGCTCCAAGGGCCTGGAGTAATTTATTCTCTCTTCTTTAAAGGAAATCTTTTTAAATTTAACAGACCTAATATACTAGAAATTGCATGAAAAGCCTTATCAAATAAAAATTAATAAATATACTTTAAATGTTATGAAGGTTTTGGCCTCTAAGAAGAGAAAAATGAAGTAACTACATATTTCTTATAATCCAACAGCAGAATTTAAAATTACAAAAAGCCTGTAGCCACCTGCATTCTTAATTAAGCTAGAGGCGGGGCAACATTTGCGGCTTGTGAATCTGGTCATATCCAATCTCATTCAGGTCTCCCTGATGCTTTGCATCATCAAAATGCTGCTGCCTTACACAAACAATTCTGTATTTCTTGGGACAAGCTCGTCAAATTGTTAAGGAATGCTCTCAGTGTGTAATTCATTGCCCTGTACAATCATTGGGGGTTAATCCTAGGGGTCTTAAACCTAATCAAATTTCGCAAATGGAAGTCACCCTCATACAGGAATTTGGTAAGCATAGATGGGTGCATGTCAATGTAGACACCTGTTCCCGCTCTATCTTTGCCACTCCCCAAACAGGAGGGAGTGCCAAGCATGTAATTAATCATTGCCTAGCTGCCTTTGCGGTACTAGGTCCTCCCTTAGAGCTAAAGACAGACGATGGACCCGCATACACTAGTTCTGCTTTTCAACATTTTTGTCAGCAATATCAAATTTGTCATAAAACTGGTATCCCTTACAACCCTCAAGGCCAAGCAATAGTGGAAAGAGCAAATAGTACTCTTAAAATCCAATTATTAAAACAGAAAGGGGAGACGGATGTTATGTGTCACCTCAAAACAAACTCAGTCATGTTCTTTATACTTTAAATTTTTTGAATTGCGACACAGAGGGTCATACAGCAGCCGAAAAGCATCGGACCTCCTGTACAATAGCATTTGCAGGGTTAGCCCGATGGAAGGATGCACAAATTGGACAATGGTTTGGACCAGATCCAGTAATGATGTGGGGAAGAGGTTGCGTTTGTATCTTTCCAGAAGGAGCAGCACAGCCAATTTGGGTGCCAGAGTGTTATGTACGTCACCACAATGGGCCCAAAGAGGCTCCTTGTCCCATCGTTCAAAAGACTAAAAGTTGCCCCGATGACAGCAAAGCGGAAAAGGAAGATGACGAAGGCTATGCAAGAGACCGAGGTGCCAACATGGGGTCAGCTGAAGAAGTTAACTGAGGCCCAGCAGATGGCAGAAAAGCGAGAAGTGGAAGCTACTCCCTCAACCATGTTTCTGGCCATGCTAGCATTCGTTAGCTGCCAGTCTTCTGCAAACTCTTTCACAGCCAAGTCCAAGGACTCTTGAGTCAATCCACAAAAGAAACTTTCATTTAGTAGAAAAATGTTACTGTAGTTTGATTTCTCTATTATTGTTATGTTGCATTGGCAGTTTTATTTTTTATTTATTTATTTTTTAAAATATATTTTATTGATTTTTCACAGAGAGGAAGGGAGAGGGATAGATAGCTAGAAACATCAATGAGAGAGAATCATCGACCAGTTGCCTCCTGCACACCTCCTACTGGGAATGTGCCCGCAACCAAATGTACATGCCCTTGACCAGAATCGAACCTTTGACCCTTCAGTCCGCAGACCAATGCTCTATCCACTGAGCCAAACCGGTTTCGGCAGCACTGTTTTATTAATAGCCATGTCTGGGTTTTGCATTTGCATTGTTTTGTTACTAGGTTTTGCATTGGCATTGTTTTGTTAATGTTTTAATAATCAGAACTTTGTTCTTGATGTTTAAGTTTTACTTCCATTATTAGTAGCTTAAAATTAAAAGAAGGGCGAGATGGAGGGAGCGGTTCTAGGGTTAAGCCTTGGACTGACCAAAGTTACAAACAAGTCCCAGCTTGGAGGGCACAGTCCTCTAGGCATAATTAAGCTTGATCTTGCTACTGCTCCCTAGATCTTTCCTGGATAGCTAATGGGCTGTGGGAGGCCCAGCAAGTGCTGCCAAAACAAGGGAAACTTACAAGAACATTGTAAATTACCTTGTTTACCTCTGACTATAAATAAAGCACCAGCTTTGCAGTCTAGATCTGTTCTGTGGCCTCAGCAAGACCCAGCTTATTCTCTTTGCCTGTCTTTTTCTTCATCCTTCACCAACTCTCACTCAGGCTCACCAAACCCTTGGCTGTGCTGGCATGGTGCAATATTAACATTTACTAAGTACATACTAGGTTTCAAGCATATTCCTTTTAGAGGGAGAAAGAATGAGGGTTGTGATTCCTATTATTATAATGACTACCCACAAAAAAATATCCAAAATTAACCTTGTGATCAAATTTGGCATCAAAGACTTCCAATTTGATCTAGTCCTTTAAGACCACTGCATTTCCTACTCCTCTACACTTTCACTGACACTGTTATCTGTACCATTCCCTTCCTCTCAGTCCTTGGTTTGTTATGTCTACTAGTCATGGCCATTGACTGACCTCTCCAAGTTCCAAGGTAGTATCCCACAGTCTTCGGATTTCCATCTGGACCTCGGTTCACAGAAAAAGTGGACTTATTTCGGTAGCCATCGATGACAGGCTAGAGGAGGCAGAAGAGCAGAAAAGGGAAAATGGGTCAAATGAGACCAAGGAGGGCAACAATACAGGGAATCAAACAATGTTCTCTGGATAAGGACAACTAAGTGATGCTTGCTTGGATAGTCCATGACTGAGATCAAGACCCTCTATAGAAACTTCATAGTAAAAAGGAGTTCCAGCCTAGCCATAAAGCAGGAGTCAGCAAACTTTTGCATTGAAGAGCCAGATAGTAAATAATTTTAGACTTTGCAGGCCATGATTCCCATCACAACTACTCAACTCTGCCATTATAGTGTGAAAACAGCCATAGACAATTTATAAATGAGAAGTTCAGCCGAGACCAGTTTGGCTCAATGGATAGAGTGTCGGCTTGGGGACTGAAGGGTCCCAGGTTCGGTTCTGGTCAAGGGCATGTACCTGGGTTGCGGGCATGTCCTCGGTGGGGGGTGTGCAGGAGGCAGCTGATCGATGACACTCTCTCATTGATGTTTCTAGCTCTCTCTCTCTCCCTTCCTCTCTGTACAAAATCAATAAAATATATTTTTTTAAAAAAGGTCAGCTGTTCCAATAAAACCTTATTTACAAAAATCAAGCAATACAACAGACATGGGAAAAGGTCCATAGTTTGCTAACCTCTGCCATAAATTAAATTTGCCTCTCGGGCCTCTTTAGGTTTCCAAAGTTGGAATTTTCCCAAGGAGGTAGTAGTGTAGTGGTTTAGAAAGTGGGTTTTGCATCAGATATGCCTGAGTGTGAATCTTAGTTCTGCCACATCTAGATATGTATCCTTGAGTGAATTACTTAATCTGTCAATGTCTTCATCTGTAAAATGACAGTGCCTACAACCCCAGAATGACTGTAAACAGAAAACAAAACAATAGTTCATGCTAATCACTTAGCAGAAGATCTGGTCCCCAGCAACTGACCAGGAGGTGTGTGCTTACAGAGGGTATAATAGGATGGAGAAGAAAACAGAGTCCCTCTGATTTGGGTGCAGCTGTTGTCACTTTGACTCCGTTGAACTTTTGGAGGTAAGACTCTAGTCTTCGTAAAATTTTCTTCTGAGCTTCAAATTTCACCTACAAAAGAATATAAGCAATAAAACAAAACACTTTTGGAGAGCCAAGATGGCGACCAGCAAGAAGGTAGGCAGGGAAAGTGTGTGACTGTGAGGGAGCAATAGAGGAGTGTGTGGGTGTGTGTGGTGTGTGTATGTATCAGCTAGGGACAGTTAGATCCTGCAGATCTTCCAAGGGGCTGTCAAATGGGCAGTCTTAGATGGCAAAACCCAGCTGCCACCGCAAACACTCCACGGGTGGCCAGAGCAGGCACAGAGACCATGCCATATTGAAGAACAGAACTGCTTGAGACTAGGATCCTAACCTTGCCACTACCCAATCTGGCCTCAAACCAGGACCCTACAGCCACTCGGTAAAAGACCTCTGACCACAGCTGCAGACCCACAGACACCAAGACTCCAGGCACCCCAGCCGCAGATTTCTGAGTCACAGAGCCAATCCCCTTCCTTGCCAGCCCCTCAGCAGTGGCATAGGAACTGTCAGACCCTCTCCGCTCAAACAGGCCTCCTGCACACACACAGTAGCAAAGGCTCTACCTGAATTTGAACCTGAGTGTGTGGACACAGGAAGTTTATTTCCCAAAGCCAGACCCGGCGCCCACACAGGGAGGCTGCGCTAAATTTGAGCCAGGGAGCGTGATCTTGGGGAGTTTGTTTCCCAAGACCAAACCCCACACCCACACAGGAAGGCTGCACTGAATTTGAGCCTGGGTGTGCAGACACAGGAAGTTTGTTTCCCGTGGCCAGACCCCGGGCCCACGCAGGGAGGCTGAGCTGAATTTGAGCCTGGATACATGGACACAGGGAGTTTGTTTCCCACAGTGTACACCCGCAGGATCAGACCCCAGGCCAATACAGGACGGCAGAGCCACCTGACTTTGATTCAGGGCAATCACACACAGAAGGCTGTTTCCTACAGGGCAGGAGTGGATCTCCTGCTGACACAGTGTGACTGTGCAACCCTTTCCCCAATCAGACCAGGGACCCTGATTTTCAGCAAGAGAGGCAGCAATGAGCACCAGTGACTTGACTATTTCTCATCGTGTGTGCCTGGGATCCCTGATTCCCAGTGCATTCACACTAAGAGCCAGTGACTATAATTGTTGGCACATGTGCACACAGAGACCCTGATTCTCAGCGAGAGACTGCACCAAGAACAGAGACTCTGATACTCAACTCTCAGCACAGGCACGGGGAGTCTCTGACTCCTGACACACGCTACGGGGCTCTGATTTTCAGCACATGCCAGCAGGGTCTCTGTATAAGCACAGCACAGGCGGGATCCCTGATTCTAGGTGTGCACAGGAGACCACATTAAGTGCCTATGACTCTGTTCTTGGGCAAACGTGGCTCCCACCAACCCACAGCAGCCACATGTCTTGGGGTCAGAGTTCTTCAGTGACATAAACAAATGGAAGAATATACCATGTTCATGGATTGGTAGAATCAAGATCATTAACATGTCCATACTACCCAAAACAATCTATAAATTCAATGCATTCCCCATTAAAATACCAACAGCATACTTCAAAGACCTAGAACAAATTCTCCAAAAATTCATCCTATATAATAAAAGCCCAATATGCTAAGTGTCCTTTTGTCCATTCAACCAACCAAAGTATAATATGCTATTGATATACTAAGACTGCTCAAACGCTCCCTATGATGTTCACTGACCACCAGGGGCCAGACAGTTGATTGGTAGATCAGTCACTATGACATGCATTGACCACCAGGGGGCAGATGCTTCATCTGGTAGGTTATCTTGCTCCTGGGATCCAGCTGAATGGGACTGAATGAGATGGACTGGACACACCCTGGAGCCCTCCATGGGCTGGACACTCCCTGGAGCCCTCCCACAGTCCTTCACTAGCTGGCTAAACTCCCGCATCCCTCCCCGGCCCTGATCGTGCACCGGTGTGGTCCCTCGGCCTGGGCTGCACCCTCTCGCAATACAGGACCCGTCAAGGGATGTCTGAGAGCTGGTTTTGGTCCAATCCCACAGGCCAGGCTAAGGGACCCGACTAGTGTACAAATTCATGCACCAGGCCTCTAGTCTGGAATAAAAAAAGACCCTGAATAGCTACAGCAATCTTGAGAAAGAACAATGTTGGAGGGATCACAATACAATATCAAGCTATACTACAAAGCCATTGTTCTCAAAACTGCCTGGTACTGGCACAAGAACAGACATATAGACAGACAAAATGGTGGAAGAATAGATAGGCGGATTCTGAGCCCTGTCCTGAAGCAGAAAGAGAGAGCAGCTGACGGTCTTGTGATGTGAGTGTTTATCAGCAAGCCAAGAGACAGCTGAACACCAGAAGAAACTGCTGGGGGGCCGCTGACAAGGGTGCCCCTCACAGGGAAGCACCCACATGGGGCTAGGTCCCTTCCCGGAGCTACCTAACGGCTTGGACAGGGAAATCTCGCCATCTTGAGAGGAAGATTGGATCTTGTCAGAGGCCTGAATATCCACAGCCGCAGCAACCACCAAGTAGCTGTGACCCCCAGAACACTGACCCCAGGCAGCGCGAACACTTGGACTCACAGGAGTGCCCCACTGCACAGCGAAAAGGTCAGACTTCGCGGGGAGAGGGTGAGTGAGTGCTCACGGAGAAGACAAAAGCCTGCGCACACAGGGTGCGCGGAAACTGGAGGACAGGGGCAGTGATTACAAGTAGAAGCCCCTGGCTGTTGGGCAGGTGTCACCCGTGAAAGTGGACGGGGCTACTAAAAGGGGAGATATCTAAAGAGCAGCACATTTGGATCTGACTCAGAGGGATATCGGAGAATTACAGGAGATTACAGTTGGCTCGGACTTGCCCCCTCCACTCCTCCATAGATCAGTGCCACAGAGAAGGGGGAAAAAAAATGCTAGAGAGGCTTTAGAGCCTGGGAAGTCAACCTAGAAACACTGCCACTCAGAGGCTAATTCACAAATTGACCCTAGTGTAATAAAATCAAAGCAAGAACTGCTTAAAAATCAGGACTGGATTACAACAATAGAAGAAGCGAATGACCTTCATTACTGCAAATTTTATTAAAGTTTTTTTTAATTTTTTAATTTTTTAATTTTTGTTTTTTTATTTTTGTTTTCATTATTTTACCCAAGAAACTATTTTTTTTCTTTTCCCTCACCTGATTTTACCCTTTTTAATTATTACATTGTATATATAATTAACATTATTACTACTACTATTTTACCTTTTTAATCTTATTTTCTTCTGTTTATTTTTAATATTTTTATTTTTTATTTTATTATTTTTTATTCTTTCGGGATTACTGTTCTACAGACTATATTTATCTTTCCTTCTCCAATGCTTTATTCTATCTCAACCCTACCTTTATGCCTTCACTCTCCTCCTAACCTTTTCCTTTGGTGCCCTGTTTATCTTAACCCTTTCCTGCTCTAGATTTTCCCCATTCTTTCTATTTACACCCTCCTAAAATTTCACCCTACTTGTGTATATCTAATTTCCAACCCCCTGCTCCAATCTCATTCACACCTCCCTCATTGCTGCCCTAAAAAAAAAAAAAAAAAAAAAAAAAAAAAAAAGACTTTCTATCTCTTTGTAGTTGTATGTTGAATGTTAACAATATTGAAGTTGTATGCTTTTTTTTTTTTTATAAGATTGATTTTCCTATTCTTTTTGTTTGATTGTATGTTTTTGTTACCTGGGTTCTAGTCACCTTTATTGGAGGTTATTACTATCGGAAACACATTTCTATTCAGTGCCTTGTATGTTGTACCTGGTTGTGTTGTATTTTGTGCCTTTAAATCAAAGCAGGAGAGAGAGAACTACACAACCAGACATCCTAAAAAGAGAGATCATGGGGAGACAAAGAAACAGTCCCCACAAATGAAAGAAAAGCAGGCATCACCAGAAAAGGAAGTAAATGAGTTAGAGGCAAGCAACCTACCAGAGCAAGAATTCAGAGTAACGATCATAAGATGGCTAAAAAGAATGGAAGACAAATTTGACAAAATGAGTAAGAACCAAGAAGAAATGAAGAAGAACCAAGAAGAAATGAAAAATGACATCGCTACTGTAAAGAACTCAATGTAAGCATCAAGAGCAGACTAGAAGAAGCAGAGGACTGCATAAGTGAGCTAGAAGACAAGATGGAAAAAAATACCCGATTAGAGCAGCTTCTGGGGAAAAAAATTAAAAAGCAGGAGGAGAGCCTAAGGGAACTTTGGGACAACACAAAACAAAACAATATTAGAATAATATGGGTTCTAGAAGAAAATAAAAAATGAGGAAGACATGGAAAATGTATTTCAAGAAATAATGACAGAAAACTTTCCTGAGATAGAGAAAAAACAATCCACACAAATCCAAGATGCGCGCAGAGTCCCAAGCAAAATGAACCCCAGAAGACCGACCACAAGGCACATTATAATTAAACTAGCAAACACCAATGCCAAAAAAGAATTTTAAAAGCAGCCAGAGAAAGAAAGTTACATATAAAGGAAACCCATCAGACTAGCAACTGATTTCTCCACAGAAACTCATCAGACCAGAAGGGAATGAGATGAAATATACAAAGTCATGCAAAGGAAGGGTCTGAATCCAAGAATACTGTACCCAGCAAGGCTATCAATCAAAATTGAAGGTGAAATCAGGAGCTTCACAGACAAAAACAGACTAAGGGACTTTATCTCCTCCATACCAGCAATGCAAGAAATGCTAAAGGGTATACTGTAAAATTAAAGAAATAGAAAGCAAAGAAGGAACACAGGGGTATAGAATAAAAATGGCATCAAATAAGTACCTATCAATAATAACTGTAAATGTAAATGGATTAAATGCTCCAATCAAAAGACATAGGGTAACGGATTGGATAAGAAAACAAGACCCACATATCTGTTGTCTAAAGAAACCCACTTCAGAAAAAGAGATGCACACGGACTGAGGGTGAAGGGATGGAAAAAGGTTTTCCAGGCAAATAGAAATGAAAAAAAAGCTGGGGTAGCAATACTTATATCTGACAAAT